TCTTGTCTTTTAAAAAATTAGGATTTACCTCTTCAAATTAATTAAAAACGTTAACATATTCGATTAATTGAGAAAAATTTATGTTTTTACAAACTTTCCATTGTCTATTTTTTCTTAGTGTTTGCTACAGTCAAGGGAGTATATCCTAATACTTTAAACTGCAGGAGTTAGTAGGCCGAAACCCTAAGACGATAAATCAATTAACTCTCAAATAAAGCTTGGGTAATTTGGTATTATTCACTAACTCATAACAATATAATTTTAAGGCTTATAATAATTCTTTGACGACAGAATTTTTTTTTTTTTTCAGAAACCTCGGGTTTCTATTATTAATCATACATAGGGATCTTGTGTCATAAAATTAGAAAAATAATATATATTGGTATTGTTTTGTATCATAAAAATTAGAAAAATAACTTTTAATAATGATGTTAAGTGTAATTTTCTTTTTTTAAGTTTAAAGCTTTCTATTAAACAAAACATGAATGATTAAAAAAGTATGCTAGTCATAATAAACTTTTAAGTCATAATATGGCAATCTACTCTAAAGTATTAAAGTGTATTAGCTTTTATTAATAATTTAATATATATAAAAAATTATAAATTATAATATAAAGTGTTTTTAACTATAGTATATATTCAACGCACATCTTTTCCCTTTTTTTTAATGTAAAAATCCCACATAATTATTTCATAAATCCAATAATTTTTATTAATAAAATAACTGATCTCCCATTTTTTTTTTCTAAATAATAAATAATATGTTATTATTTACCCTTTTATACGACCATATAAGATAGAAAAAAGTTTAAAGTATAAATTAACATGACACAAAATGAATGAGATAATGAATATAGAAAAAAGGAACATAAATAAAATAAAATAAATGTTAATGTATTTTCCTTGTAAATGGTAAAATAATGTTGTATTCTTTAGTGAAGACCCATACTTTGAAAGTTTGACATGCTCTTTATTTTATCAAAGTTGTTATAAAAGTGGAATTGCAATAAGAATCATGTAGCCCAATCTCCTTACAAAGCGGCAAGCCACCATCAAAAGAATATTCAAATAAGCTGAAGGTGAAGGTGCTTCCACATCACATTCCACTTTTTGGGATGATAAAAAGAGAGCAAAAGCTTTTAAATCTTGTCTCATTATAACATGCATGAGATGGAATCATTTTATGCTTTATTTTATGAAACTGAATGTGACACATTAGAAAATCTGGGTTATAATTGTAACCAAAAAAAAAATATTTCCCCCACTTTTTTTTTTTTTTCTTTTTGTTGAGGGAGGTGTTCGGGCCAACTTAGGTGCACCCAGTTAATCCTATAAGACCTAGAACTACTGACCAAGTAAGAGCTCTAGACTATTTGACCATTGTTGATGAAAGAATTACATCAACTAGAGTGATTGATTGAATTTGATGGAACGAAACTAATGTGTGTGTGATTAAAGATAACCAACAATGTAATGAACATAAAAATAGTAATGTAAAGAACACAAAGGGTTTTTAAAGTGGTTCGGCAAGTTGAATCTTGAGTCTAATCCAATTTTTCTATTTGCTTAGAGAGTTTACAAGAAAATGTATAATGCTTAGAAAATTTGCTAACCCCCTCCACGTTGGAAGGGGTTATATAAAGTTTTTCAAAAAAAAACAAAAAACAAAAACAAAAACAAAAATTAAAGGAATTAAAATTAAATTGAAATGCAACTCCGTATTCTCATAATTGAGCACTAAGATCACGTCTTATGTGTGTGATCTGTTCTCTTCCGAATATCTGGGATCTGAGCTTATCTGTGATTTGCTTGATAGCTGTCGAGATTGGTCACGACTAGTTATGCTGGTGAGCTATATGTTGACGAGGTATGCTGGGCGACTCGGACAAGTGTTGAGCTGAGCTGAACTAATTCTAGGTCAAACTATAACCTCATGGAACTTTGACCCTCCAGGCTTAATGGAAAAATCACACACAACAATCACCTAGAGGTAGTTTCCTTCACACTTTTATTTCAAAGCTTTGAATTATAGTTAACAAAAAAAAAAAAAAAAACAAAATTAAAACAAATTTAGGTTAACTAGAATTCATAATTTCACAAGTAAATTAAAACTTATTGTATTAACCATCAAAGTTACTTAGGGGGGTTTTGGTAGAGTATTTTGAGTAGTATTTTTTAAAAAGTTGAATGGGTTATTTTACGAGAATAGGATTTAAAAATTAACAAAGCACTCTTACATTTGTTAATTTATCAAACCCCTAACAAAATAACCCCACCCATCCATTAAATGCCAGCAATCGCCACCACCGCTGAGGGTGGTCGAAAATCACTGGAATGGCACACGATCGGCTGGATCTAGCTGATTGTGCATCGATCTGGCCAATCCGAAAAAAGGCCAGATCTATGACCAAAGATTGGTCGTTGACATCAGATCTGGCCAGATATCGTCAATGACGGCATATCTTGGTGTCGTTGAATCTGGCCAGATCGGCACACGACGGCCACATCTAGTCGTTTGTGCACAATTCTGGTAGATTCTAGCCACTTGGTGGTGAGTGACGACTGTAGGGAATATGTGGGTTGGTGGGGGTGTTTTGTAATATAAATTTTTTATAGTGGGGGTGTTTAGTTAAATTAACAAACTTAGGGGGTTAAAAAAATATATATTTTGGGTTGCATAGAAATGTTTAGATTTTAAGAATATTGAAACAAATATGTATTTGGATATGATAGGATAATTGTTAAACAAATTCAAACCATATTTACATCATTGCATTGTTTTACAACCTACTTTGTAACCTACTCCATCGTTGGAATGGGTTATATACAAGTTTTTCACAATAGAAAAGCGAAATTAAAGGATTAGAATTAAGATTGAAATGCAACTCCGATATTCTCGCGATTGCGCAGCTAAGATCGCGCCATTATTGTTGATCTAATCTCTTCCTGAATATCTGGGATCTGAGTTTATCTGTGATTTGCTTGAATAACTGTCGAGATTTGTCGTGACTAGCTATGCTAAATTGAGCTATATATCGATGAGTTTATGCTGGGTTAGACAAATATTGAGTTGAACTGATTTAGGTCGAACTATAAACTCACAGAACTTGACTCCTCGAGCTTAATGGAAATCACACACAACAACCACCAAGAGGTAGTTTTCCTCCACACTTTTATTTCAAAGCTTTGTATTTATAGTTAACAAAAAAATAAAAATTAAAACTAATTTAGGTTAATTAGAATTCATAATTTCACAAGTAAATTAAAACTTATTGTATTAATCATCAAAGTTACTTACATTTCACCTTTATTACATAACTCATTTATCTCATATCCTTCTAAATCGAACAAAACTATTGTTTAATTTTCTTTGAAGAATTCTTTATTAGTTTAGTTCTTTTTTTATTTTTATTTTTTTTTTATCCTAATTTTATAGTTTGAAGAATGTTACAAATTACATTATTTAAATGGAAAAATGATCATAAAACTGAAAATGATTGGAACTTGAATCAAAATTAATTTCTAATAATTTTTCTAAATTCTATTACACCCTTATTTAAGATAAAAGATGAGGGCTAAAAATCACTTCTCTATTATAAACAAAGTGATGCTTAGAATCTAAACTGTGATGGCCCAATATGGCCTCTTGGTAGCAATGGCCCAATGGGATCTCTTGGGTAAAAGCATGCTAGAACAATAGAAACCTCTAAAATTGATAGACAAAAATACAATTAGTTGTAACCGATGTACATTTATCATCGAGTCAAAAGTTATAACACAACCTTATTTTCTTAAAATATTAGTCATGTGCTCATGGTTCAAAGGGATTCAACCTCTTGATCATTGTCATAGACCCACAATATGATGCTAATCCACTTTGTACATTGTAACTAGTTTCTATATGTTCGTTTTACACTAATTAGTTATACATAATGGTGAAGATTATTTTGTAATTACTAAAAAGTTGTTTAAAACCATAAACGCGATACCAATGATAAACAAGTATTTCATACAAGTCTTCATTTTGTGTTATATTCCTTTTAAATGTAGATTCATAGTGCCCCAATTGATCACTTTTTAAAGTGTAGATTCACAAACATATCGCATTAGTAACAATTTTTTTTTTTTTTTTTAATAATCGGGGGTGTCTAAGCTAGTTTGTGTATACCTCAACTAATCCCTTGGAACCCTAGAACTACTGATCGGGTTAATAGTTCAAGTGATTACCTCTATTAGAGGTTGTGAGGACTCGAATTTAGGAGACTATGTTAAATCTTCTTCTTACTCTTTTGCCATAAAAAAGACTCGAATTTGAAAGATCATGTTAGATTTTCCTTTACTCTTTTACTATGAGACCAACCAGTGTAGTTTACATTAGTAACATTAAGCATACATTTGCCATTAGATGGTTGATTAGCAAAACCAAATGTAGTCATGTAGATTCACTATATAAAATATGTCATTAGTTATGCAACAAACAATTAATTGAAAGACAAAAATATATATCGTCAATGCTCGACCCATTATTTATACAAGACATTTCATATACTTAGAGAGAGAGTGATTAGTGCCACATGTATCTAGTATATTAATCATTGATATTGTAATCAAATTAGTATCGATCTTAAATAATTGATAAATAAAATAAAATTTTAATTTATTTATTGATTTAGTAACAATATTAAGTTAGTAAAATATAAACTTTATGTCCAACGAGAAAGTCTCCTTATTACGGTGATATATTATAAGCTAAAAAATGTATAATATGTATGTAATAAAATTGATATTTATCAATTACATTAAATTAAATATAAAGATGGATATAAGAAAATTCGCAAATGAGGGCCCAATCTTCCGATGCCCATCTAAGGGCTGTGAGGGACCGGTACCATTATCACTAGATGATCCCGTGGTCTACAAACTGGCACGCGTAAAATCGTGGAGTTGAAGCTCGTTATGTATTGATATGATATCCCATATCCAATACAGTTATCACTCTCCCTCTCTTCACAAAACCAACTAAACTACCTTGCATGGCCCTCTCTTCTTCTTCTTCTTCTTCTCCATTTTCTCTCTTCTCTCCCCTCTCTCTTCGCCGCCCTTCTCTTTTCCCACCTTCTTCTCCTTCTTCTCTCTACAATATCTCCCGTTCTCTACCAAAACCCGTCCCAATTCACTGCACCAAAAGTAAGAACAAACCCCTTCAAGTCACTTCAAGCACCACTAATTCCGACCCCAAAGCCGGCGTCTCAGTTTACAAGCCCAAGTCTTATGAAGTTCTCGTCACTGATGCCGCCAATTCTCTTGCTTTTGCTCTTCAAGATGGCAAAACCCGCTTGGAAATCGACTTCCCGTAATTTTTTTTTTCTCCCTTTTCTGTTTCAGCTTTTTCTTAAAGTTTGGCTTTTTAGTTGGCTTTAGTGGTACCCATTTGGTTAAATTGCCTTGCGGTAATTTTTNTGTAGTTTACATTAGTAACATTAAGCATACATTTGCAATTAGATGGTTGATTAGCAAAACTAAATGTAGTCATGTAGATTCACTATATATAATATGTCATTAGTTATGCAACAAACAATTAGTTGAAAGACAAAATTATATATCGTCAAGGCTCGTCCCATTGTTTCTAGACATTTCATATACTTAGAGAGAGAGTGATTAGTGCCACATGTATCTCGTATATTAATCATTGATATTGTAATCAAATTAGTAATGATCTTAAATAATTGATAAATAAAATAAAATTTTAAGTTATTTATTGATTTAGTAACAATATTAAGTTAGTAAAATATAAACTTTATGTCCAACGAGAAAGTCTTCTTATTACGGTGATATATTATAAGCTAAAAAATGTATAATATGTATGTAATAAAATTGATATTTATCAATTACATTAAATTAAATATAAAGATGGATATAAGAAAATTCGCAAATGAGGGCCCAATCTTCCGATGCCCATCTAAGGGCTGTGAGGGACCGGTACCATTATCACTAGATGATCCCGTGGTCTACAAACTGGCACGCGTAAAATCGTGGAGTTGAAGCTCGTTATGTATTGATATGATATCCCATATCCAATACAGTTATCACTCTCCCTCTCTTCACAAAACCAACTAAACTACCTTGCATGGCCCTCTCTTCTTCTTCTTCTCCATTTTCTCTCTTCTCTCCCCTCTCTCTTCGCCGCCCTTCTCTTTTCCCACCTTCTTCTCCTTCTCTCTACAATATCTCCCATTCTCTACCAAAACCCGTCCTAATTCACTGCACCAAAAGTAAGAACAAACCCCTTCAAGTCACTTCAAGCACCACTAATTCCGACCCCAAAGCCGGCGTCTCAGTTTACAAGCCCAAGTCTTATGAAGTTCTCGTCACTGACGCCGCCAATTCTCTTGCTTTTGCTCTTCAAGATGGCAAAACCCGCTTGGAAATCGACTTCCCGTAATTTTTTTTTTCTCCCTTTTCTGTTTCAGCTTTTTCTTAAAGTTTGGCTTTTTAGTTGGCTTTAGTGGTACCCATTTGGTTAAATTGCCTTGCGGTAATTTTTGTCTGTTTGTTATTTTAGATTGAAATTGGGTTGCTTGCTGGTAATTAGTATAGTCTTGCTTGAAGAGTTTTAGGATTTATATAGAGACGAAAGCTAAAGAATGAATTTATGGTTAGAAATTGATGAATCGCATTATCATAAAGTTATTGAGAAATTCAGAGGCTTGAAAAAACCAAATGTGATCCTAATGGAGAGGTAGCAAGCTGTGGATTGTATGTATATGAATTGAAACAGGATAATGGTGATCATATAACTTCAATTATCAATAAAAAATTTCAATATCGTGGAATATCTCCTTTTTTCTGGTGTGTGGACTCAAAAAAAAAAAAAAAAAAATAAAAAAAAAAAATGGAAGAAGAAATTTAATGTTTTTAAATGGTTGCCATTTTCTTTTCTAACTCTAGTTTCTTGTTTTTTTTCTTCTTCTTCTTCTTCTTTTCCCCCTTCTCCAGGCCATTGCCTAGTAACATGTCCTCTTACAAGGTACCTCTTTATTTATGGATTTTCCCATAAGTTTCTTGAGAAAGCTAATTGAATGATTCATAACTGATCAAATGTTAATGTTTGACGGCTTTCTCTAGTAGTCTTTAAAGTGATTCCTCGTTTGGATTTACCGTTTTCAGTTACTAATTCTAGTTCTATGTCGGGATCTTGTATTATGATTTTGAGAGTAGACGGATGTGATTCTGACTAGAGTGGTGATCATTTGATATGTTTATGAGCCTCTACCAGTGACAGTTTTGGTGTAATTTTATTGAAAATTGATTTGTTTATCCATTAGAATATTTATATAATACATCCGTTTCTCTCAAAGCAAAAGAAGATGTACTTGCTTTTCTTGAAATCTTAAATGTGTGAAGGGATCTTCAGATGAGTTCATAGATGCGAACATTCAACTTACCTTGGCTGTTGTTAGAAAGCTTCAAGAAAGGATGGATACCCGAGCTTGCATTGTAAGAAAAGAGTTCCTTTCATATGAAAATCGATTTTTCCATTTGAAAATCTGAATTTAATCAGGCGTGTTCCATCTCAGGTATTTCCTGATAAGCCAGAAAAGAGCAGGGCCTCTCGGATTTTTAAAGCAGCTCTTGACTCGGTAAAAATGCAACTTTCCAAAAACTTCTGTTTTGCTTTGATGTACTATAGCATTGAGTTAGGCTTTTTTGGTATTCTGAGTTTGTCTTTCCGGAATTTGTGGTTGCTCGAGAACCACTTCTTTCTATGGGTCTCCTTCCAGCCCATGCCTTGGTTGTGGATTGTTTGGGATGGAACAGGGTATGGGTCAAGTTGATCCATTGAAAGAACAACAAAACAGCTTATACTTACAATCAACAACATTCAGATCCTAATTACCAAAATATATAATATAGTAATGATAACAGCAATTCAGTTGTGCTATTTATACTTGTTTAGAATAGTGGTCATTAGATGTAATTTTGTCAGGCAGAGTGTACTGCATTGGTTTTCTTATGGAGTTCAGGCCTTATATCAATATGATTTGGCCTTTAAATTTCTGATTTCTTAGTAGCTTTAAGGTAGAAGTCCTTTAATTCTTAGTTGGATTTCAGTCTTTGATTCATTTCTTTCAGATTGATGGTATCACCATAGGTTCCCTGGATGATATCCCTAGCAGTGGTGTCAAAAATTTCTTTAGCTCTATAAGGAACACCCTGGATTTTGATTTTGAAGATGATAATGCAGGTTGGTTCTACAAATGCTGTCTATGATTTGGTTTTTCTTTTAGAATTTTGCCTTACACTTTTTGTAACTGCTGGTAGGTATATGTTGCTTTTACACCCTTCCAATCTGGATTTAAGGGAATGTTTATTCCTATTATATCTCTTATGTGTTTCACATTTTTTGTTCCTCACTAATTTGAAAATAGTTAATCAATTTTGTTTATAAATAAAATTTTTAAAGTAAATCTTTTCCTTCACAAAGTCAGTTATCACTTTGCAATGTAGGGGGTGAAAGTCTTTATGTGCTGATTCCATATTATGAAATTTGATCCATATATGAGTGAGCACAAACAAATTGCAGTTTAGAGTGACTGAGATAATGGTTACAACTTTTTCAGACTCTTAAATTGCGACAAAAATAACAGTGACTCAATATTATTCAAACAACAATTACTCTTTTGATTTGAATGCTTTAACAATGGTTTAGAATTTCATATACTTTCTCCAATTTGAATATGAAAATGGTGATTTTAATCTTTGATCTTGTTCTTCCCTCATTAGCACCATGGATTTTTAACATGTTTACCAAAGGAAGAAACAATTGAAAAGTCTGCATTTTCCCAAAAGCATGGTTGACTTTTTATTTTTCAAGAATGTTATCCTTTAATGTGAGATTTTAGTGATTAAATCTTTTTGTTTGAACTCAAAATCCACTATTAATGCAGGTCGTTGGCAGTCCGATGAGCCACCTACACTGTATGTGTTTATTAACTGCAGCACTCGTGAACTTTCTGTTATAGAGAAGTATGTGGTATGGTGTCTTTGCTTTTTAAGATATTAACTCATCTATTTTACGACCTTGATTGCTATCTTAAGAGTTTATTATTTTAAAGAGCTACTCAGCTCTAGGTTACAGTTAATTATTCTAATAAGTTGACAGATCCATGACTTCTGAAAATTCAACTTTTGATTTTTATCTTAAGCACTTCATTTTAGAGCAATACTTACTGCTAGGTCTTATTTGGAAGAAATCCGTAGCCTTCTGGGTAGAAATACTTTAGCCAGTAGACGTCTTTTTCTTGTTTGCCTTTGCATCTACTCTGTCTATTTGAAAGTGGGACTTATTAACGGGAGCTTTCAACTTTTGAAGCTCTTTGAAATTCGCCATTGCTTCAAAGGCCATATCTTTCACTGTGTTGTTTACTTCCATATATTTATTTTTCATATTAAGAAGATCCCCAAGAATAGAAATCAAAATTTTCCATGTATTAAAGATGAAATTACTTTAAAAAGCATCTGGCATTAATGTTTTTCAAGCTGAATCTGGTGGTGGATGGAAAAATTCTCTTCATTAGTTGATGATAGAAAACTTTAATGGTAGACCATTATTATCATGTACATCAGTACTTCAGGACAATGTAGAACCTTCACTTTTGGTGCTGACTTGATTTGTTGGCGAGAGAACCCTAGGACTTTTATGTGGCTAGCATCATAAGGCATATCATTTTGCAATTGTTTTACAACTTAGTACCATTTTATTTTCAGCTCATCCCCGTGCATTTTTTGGAATGATTATTTTTTTTGTAACTTTTTGATGGGATTACAGGAGAAGTTTGCCCCGTCAACCCCAGCACTTCTTTTCAATCTTGAACTGGATACTCTAAGGTATATATACTACCATACCTGATACTTAATTGATATACGTGATTACCTTATTTATAAATTAACTTTTTGTTTCCAAAAATAAGTAAAATGCTTGCCATTTCAGAGCTGATTTAGGCCTATTTGGATTTCCAACCAAAGATTTGCATTACCGGTTTCTTTCTCAGTTCACCCCAGTGTTTTATATCCGAATCAGAGAGTACTCAAAGGTATTTATACTTACCCACTCTTTATTATTGTTCTTTTTTGTTGGCTTTTTTTTTTTTTTTTTTTTTTTCTCAACTTCAGTTCTTGAATAATCACTTATATTTGTAATGTAAGACGGTAGCAGTGGCACCTTACGTTGTAAATTACAGTGGAGCGTTATTTCGCCAATACCCTGGTATGTAATAGATCTTTTAAGAGAGTTGTGGATTCATTTTAATTGTTTATATTTCAGTGCTTTGTTTTCTCAAAATTATGCTGTGTTGCCTCAATTTTAAGAGATATATTAATCTTTTATTTCCATTAGGTATTTGAATCTTTTAACTTAATTTTATGACTTAAATTGAAACACAAATACATGACCATTGATTTATTGCAATCTAATGGATATGGAATGAAAGTTGTAGGTGGTTATTTTAATATTTTTATTGTCATGTCATCAGCTCTTAAATCATTGGATTGTGATAGATAACGGTTAAAAATTTGTGTCAACAAAAAAGTCAAAAATTAAATTAAAGGATACCAACCCTATATATATATATATAATTAACCTGCTATTAGTATTGCTATAACTTAATAATATTATTAGCCCTCATAAGAGATAGTCTATACTTATTTTGGCACTTCTCCTTTGAAAAATTTATGTTTTCTTTAATTCAATATACTGTATTTACTTGGGCCTCATATTTGAACACTGCATTTTAACTACATGCAGTCAAGCTTCCTTACTCAACTAGATTTGTGCAGGGCCTTGGCAGGTGATGCTTAAACAAGCAGATAATTCTTATGCTTGTGTAGCGGAAAGCACAACACGGTTTACTTTGGGTGAAGTATATATCTACTTTTACTTTCCAAATCTTATTTGCTTCATATTAATATAAATATTCCACTTCTAGACTAATTATTTGCTTTGCTCTAGACCAAAGAAGAACTGTTGAGGGTCATGGGACTACAAGAAGAAGAAGGAAGTTCTTTAGAATTTCTTCGCAGAGGCTACAAGGTTTGACCTCACTACTTGAGTAGTTCCTTTCATTTGAACATGTTTTACACCATTTGAACATGTTTCACACTGCACACTGTTAGTGGCTCATTGTCTTCTACGTTCTCCCTCTCTCGCTTCCTCCCAACAATCACATTGTAGTGCTGCTATACATGTATGGCTTTCATAAGGTTTTCCTATTCTATAAAATGAAACTATCAGCTGTTGAATTCAATGAAATAATAGAACCTATAAAAATATATGAAAAAGATACCCAAGTTACTATTAACAGTTTTAAATTTGAAAGTTCATATATGAAAAAGATTCCAAGTTACTGTTAACATTTTTAATCTGAAAATTCATGAATTATAGAATGGTCTAGCTCTATTTCAGGATAAAGTAAGTACTAGAAATCACTATTAGTATGGCTTCCACTAATTGCACTGTAATTTGTGGACAGACATCATCAAGTCAGAGTTCACTTGGTGACTTAAGATTTCTTTTTCTTTCCTTTCTTTTTTGGAGTTTCTTATTTTTAGTAGTGATGGAGAATCCCAAATCAGCCTTTGGGTGGGCGAGCAAACCCTGGATCCATGTAAGACTTCAAAATCATCAAGGATTTGAAAAACTCATGGTTCACAAGAACCATGATTCCTTGTGTAGGGACCCAATAATTATATGGAGAGTCGAAACAACAAAACGTACCTGTCGTATTAAACCTGTCTAAGCAGTTTTAAAGTGTTTCATCCTGGATTTCTTTCTGTGTGAAAAGCATTAGCCACTTGATGATCAGAGCTATGCTCTAGTACCAAAAGGTGTCCTAAACTTCACCATGTTATATATTATGTGCAGACTGCTACTTGGTGGGAGGAAGATGTTGAACTGGAATTATCTTCTGCTTGGCGTAGTTAAGCAACTGTAGGAGTACTGGCCAAATGTTATTGAAAGCTATAGATAATATTCAATTGCCTCAGACCACAAAAACGCTTCAATTTTGCGAAAACACGTTATTATTTTTCATTGTTTTGACAACTCTATATTCTTTTTGGTGGAAATGATGTAATTCTAGTAGTATATGAAGGAAATCTTGTTTCATACACATTGTGGCGAGGAAATATCAGACGAGATAGAACTTCTAAGTCATTTGAATCCCAGATGAATTGAACACGTAATGGATGTTCTTTTATCATGATATAATTCCCATCAATCATATCATGAACCTTGAGAATATGTACATCTAGACACAGAAGACTAATCTGATTAATTTCGCCACCTTCATTTATCACTTATTGATATATTACATGTATCTGACTCAACCACGCAATGCTGGCACAATCAAGTTTCATAGACTATCCAATAGCATAACACCCTGCAACATATTGATTATGATACATAGATTAATCGGTAGAGCAATGTAGGATTGTAGGTTTAGTGCAGCTAAACAGTTAAAAATTGGCCAGAGAAAGTAATGTTATATTGTTTTTTGATATCTCCATCTCAAATACATACACGCTAATTAATCTGCATTGAAGTCAGGCTCTGAGGGCTTCTGCATTATCAAACCCATGGGACTTGCATCATTACTCGAAGTTCCTTGCTTCTGTCGACGAGCATTAGCTGCAAAGCGAGATGCAAATACTGTAGCACGTAGCCTGGATGGAAAATCTCCATATTCATCTGGTTGCTCGTCTAATTCTACTTGATCATCTTCCATATAGTAGTCTGCTGCCATCTCTGCATCATATTTGTCCTGACTTTCAGCAGCAGTCTTCCTCCCTTTTCTGCGGCGCCATGTGGCTTGGATAAAGGAAGCAGCCCATGTTCTCCATTGCTGTGAGTAGAAACGAAACGTATGCTGCACCTGTCGACTATGCAAGCGCCTAAACTGACTAGCTACAAACTTTAACTCTTCAGCTTTTAAGGCAAAAGCCTCCACTTCAGTTAAAGCCCTCACTGTCCGAGTAGATGATGGCAAGTTAGTAGAAGATTTAGGGTCTAGTGCCCAAGTAAGAAGCTCCTCTCCACAGAAGTCCCCTTCTTTCAGTAAACCTCTGTTGTAAAAACCAGTCCTTCCACCATCTGTAGTCACACTTTCCAACTCACCACGAATGATCAAAAGCATCTCATCAACAGGATCCCCTTCCCGAACCACACATGTCCTCTCTGTGCACAAACTTGGCTTTAGTCTCTCACATATGGCATCAAGTAACCGCTCATCCATATTGGCAAACAGCGGAACCTGTATGCATACACCATCATACAAAATTTGAGATATAGAAAACATTTCTAAGATTAAAGATCTTCAGTGTGGCAAAGAACATTGAGAGGTTCAGGTTCGATATCTATCCTGGCTACTATGAAGATATATTTTTGGCAATATTAATAAATATACACAAGGACAAATTTCACACCTATATTTAGGAAGAGCAAAATAATGGTTGAATAGAAACACTATTGAAATGCCAATATCCACCCGAAACGTAAACAAATAATAATGTTACCTGAATAAAGCAACAACTGAGAATACTTACCCGTCTCACCAAACTCAAACAGAGATGCCGCTTGATATCCCTCCTAAGATCTTTTGGAAGACTTTGGACCAAGCTCTCTTCATCTACTCCTCGCGTTTCCAACCACTTGAAATGATCATAGCGCCTAACTCGTTCCCTGAGATCTTGTGGAAGCCAGCGATGATGCATCCACTGCTCAGAGTCACGCCGTTTGATCCTCATCTCCTCAAGACGAACAGTAAGAGATTGAAGGTAGGTCTGCAACAATTATACCATAAGCTCATCACTAATGAAAAATGTAATACTGTTGACATTTGGGAATAATCACATTTACTTTCAGGTTTAAGTATAATTTAGCATGACATGTTTCTATTATATATGTAAATGCGAGAGAGGATCGAATGACACTTGATCTAAAACTTAACATACACCATTCAATATCTCTTACATTCAAATCTTCTATTTGCTGAAAGCATTTCTTATTCAGACAACAGTTGAATTTCACACTATTGCATACTTTTTGTGCTCAACTAGTTTCAAAATTACTAAAATCTTAACTATCTGATAAAAAATGAATTGAAGAAATAAAAGATATTTACAGATATTCAATATGGTGAACATAGGTGATAATTGGTTTAATATTGGCTCGTTACAGACTCAGTAAATTAATAAAATTAAATTCCAATTTAATCTAAATGAAAAAGAAAAGGCCGATGTGATAAGTTGTTTGTTCCAAGAAAGTTTTCCACTGAGGAAGAGAGTTGAAATTCCATGATAACAATTTAGATCTGCATAGTCCTTTAAAATGAAGAAAATTTTCTTCCATGCTCATTTTCAGCAAAAGAATTTAATACTCAACTGAAACAGAGAAACACTTATGAAGAAACTAAAAGATGAAGATTGTAACTTACTTGCATGTTTCCTATCAGAAGTGCAAAGAGGATAAGGCCCCCGATGCCTATGCATATTGAAAAGATAACCTCCGTTGCATGCGTACTGGTTTTGAGCCCCTGACCAAGTGTACTGCAGAAAGTGAAATGGCAATGTGCTTAAATAAAGAAACTTAATGCACTCAAATGAAATTCACCAACTTAGAATCTTAACCATATGAAACTAAAGCATGAATTTGCAAATAATAAAGCACACTTTGCAGATAACCTAAGATAGGAATAAATAAATTCATGGTACACCTAGTACAAGCTACACCAAGTAAACACATATTTCAGATCCTCATAATGGGGACGTCTGGGAAAACTGCTGAAGCATGAAAAGTCCAAATGCAACTACGCTGCTTATATTATAAAGTGACTTTACCATTGAAGCATGGTAGCAGCAAAAACTCATGCCTGCAAAATTTTGTTAATTACTCGTATATAAGAACAACCCATATTTAGGAAGATGAAAGTTGATAGCAAGGAAAATGGACAAGGAAAGTATTCATGTTTTTACTACCCTCAGCGGGACATAATATAAAATAGAGGCTCTACCATAAATTAAATGAACAATGATACTCATTTAATATAGCGGAGAAAATCAGTGATATACCTCAAATTTTGCAGGCCCCACCACAAACAATAGAAGAATTTAGCGATGAAATCGTAAGAAGTATAAAGGTTAACAGAAACAGCCTGCGAGAAGATTCCATAGTTGAAAGTTTGTTTAGTCTCATCCTCGGCATTACATGTCTTACTAAGTAGTTCCTCACTGATGCCATTCCAGTTCTCAAATTCTTCTGATCCGGGATAGCCACAGTACAAGAATCCGTGCTTACATTTCCCACTTTTTTCACAAACCATTTTCAAGCATTGCATATTACGTTCTATGCCTAGTAAGTACCACAAAGCCCCTAATATCTGTAAAAAATTCCGTCCAACCATAGTAAGATGAGATCAGCACATAATTGCACAGTATCATTATTTACTACTGTTGCTAGTTCTTGGATAAAGAAAAATGAAGGCATAAGTCGATAATCCATTCACATATTTGTACAAAATGAGAGCATGGAATCATTGATATTCATTGACATTTGTCATGTACTAAGGATTCCCAGTTATATGACTAACTTGAATCAATACATTCTGAAACAAAATGTTCATACAAAATTTACAACAGCCCTGAATGGGACAGTATGTTACGCGGAAAAGAGATGGGAGGAGACAAACTTAGATCCATCAGAAGCAAACAATTGTTTTTACAAGACAGGATTAGTGAAATATTTTGCAGTGCAATAAATTAACCATCATTTTTCTTGTAACCATGATGTAAAACAAAGTATGGTGTGAATTATGTTTAGATGATCTATTTTGCCTACAAAATGGAATCCAAGACCAATAGTCATCTTCTTATGAACTTAGGATTAATACATAGGTAACAACAGGAATCACAAATAGAATGCATATATGTAAAAAAAAAAGATAATGAAAAGGATGTAACGACCCACTTCCGTTCTAATATATTATTCCATGCCAACATTTACAAGCTAGACAAGCAAGAGTGCTCAACAACTGCTGTATAGGAAGAACACAGAAAATCAAAAGGTAAGCAAAAAGTCAGGTTGATCATTTCCCTTCGACAATCACATATTTCTTATCCATTCGAAAATTTGCAACTCTTTCAAGAGCTAAATACTGCTTTATCCTTAAAAGGTTTCTAGAGCCAAAGAGTATTCTTGATCATTTATATGTCAAACGATATATGCTCTTGATCTTAAAAGGGATCAATGCAAAACCTTTTAGCTCTATAAATGGAACTATTCGAAAGAGAAATGTAATTCAATCATACCTAATCAAGGTAGGCCACAGATTGTAAACATCTAAGTTCTTTGCAACTTTACGAGAGTGATATTCCCAATAAATTAATAACACAAGAAATGTACCTCAACCATAATTTTAATTATCCTCCCTCCAGTTTAAGAGATTATTTCCCAAAAAATAAAAAAAGAAGGAATCTAGAGCAAAAAACAATTTGTTGTTGCTGGATCCAGTGAAAAGTAGAAGTTTGAGCAATGGCCGAAGGAATTTGTTTGTTGATATGGTTCAAAACTCTACTAATATAACTGGAGGTAACCCGAACAGACATGATGAAGGTCTGCTGCAGTTATGAGGCTGCAATCAACTAGTTCATAATCCGGTTCAACATGATAAAACTCAACATGTTGAAGAGAATAGACATTTTATTAAAGAGAAATTGGAAAGTAATCAGATTTGTATGCCATTATCACCATGCAACAAAATTTGGCCGACATTTTGACTAAAAGGCTACCAGCTTGAGGGGAGTGCCAAAATTCAGAGGATCTTGCCATTTAAGTTTCTTATTTCTGTTTAATTCCTATTTTGTATATTTTCTAATTTTGTGGGATTAACTGAGTTAATTTCTGGATTGTGTATAGGGTGACTTGTAAGGAGGATTTTCCTTTTTCAGTTAGTTAGGTTGGGTACATATCGCAAAGTCCTAATTGTTATTCAATGTCAGAAATCATTCATTGTTCTCAACGAATACTTACATGACTCATAAGCAAGTACCATAGCAGATAGTATGCAGCACCAACCAAAGCACTTTCAGCAAAAACACCCGCAGTCTTCTTCAACTCCGAAATTAGAGGTAAAAAGCGAACAAATCGAGGAATATATTGGA